ACAGTGGAAATTCACCCTCTATTGATTCAGCTGCGTTGTTGCAATGTAAGAGAGATGTGTTATTGATTCTCTTTAGGATGCTTGTTTATGCAGAGATTAGAAATGCATCAGCATAGCTTGTACATTTAAAAAGTGATTGCAGAGTAAAATCTGTACCTCCTGTACACCACTATGCTGTGTTGCTTCTGGCATTTGTATGCTGGACACTTCCTTTTGTGCACGTGGAAGCTTTACCTTCTGGGTGAGCCTTTCCCTTCTGAACATTTGCAGGCCTTAGATTTACAGGGGTGTTCATCATGCGTGAAATAGTGAAATTTCAAATGTAGCTCACCAGCTCAGATACAGACCATGTGCTTTTCTGATGAATCAAATAAGATTTTACTAGGTGTTGATGCAGCCTTGGACAGCTAGCAAGAAGTTCATTGACCATGTAATCCCCAAATTTTAAGCCACACTGAGATTATGCAATGGTTTGGAATGAAGCTGTGCTCTCAGAGTTGTGTTTTTTTTTTTTTTTTCTGTTCCTGTGTAAAGTGCTCAGCTGCCCCACCTGCTTCAGAAGTTTGTCATTTTGTTGGCTCTTTCATCTTTCTGCCTTCCCTTTCCAAAGGTACACAGATGGCAAATTGGAATATTGAGTGTTGACTGCATCCATGTCCAGTAGCATTGATGTCTTCAGGGATTTATTTTGCCGTGATTTAAATTGTTGGTAACTGTGATATCAATTTAGAGAGCAAGATCTGTGAATTACTAGGCTTTTGAAGTATTTTGCATGGGAGTGATACAGGATTATTGCAGATGAGAGAATGCTATGTATCGTATTCCTTTTTCCCTCTAGCAATACCTTTTCATTCCTTTTGAAGAGTTTTGCCTGGCATCCAGCAAAGTTCACTGTGTAAACATCAGTGTGACAACTCCAGTGTACACTTGTAAGTCAGACTGTGCTACCTAGCGATTTAATTCCAAGACCATCCATACTAATTTAAATATGCATAATGCTGTGCAGAAAAAGATGTTTCCTGCATAGAAATTCACAGCTGAAAAGGAAAATAGGAAAATAAGATTAGGTAGGGTAGGTGAGGCCAATCTGATTACGTGCTGAATTCTGAGACTGATGCACATGTTATGTGTGAAGGGTATTTTTTAAGTAAAATGTTTTTTGTACATGCATGTGAGTGAAATATGTAATTTTGCTTCTGTTTATAAGCAACAAAATTGCTGGGAAATTTCTTTCTCATTTTTTTTCTTTTCTTCCTTGCTCTCCTGGAGAGAGTTTCTTTGTAATTTTAAGAAAAAGTCTAAGAAATAAAAATTGTAGAAGTTTTGTGTGGATTTTTTTGTTTGCTTTAAAGCATGGTATAGTGAATACAAAGTTGTGGAGTTCCTATTATGGAATTTGGAACAGACATTTTGTGGGTCTGAACTTTTGGGTAGACCTGTGCGGTGTCAAGAGTTGGACTTGATGATCCTTAAGGGTCCCTTCCAACTCAGGATATTCTATGATTCTATGCTACTGACATGATATTGGTGTTAATATCACAACTAGGCAGGTGAGATATTATTCCAGGATGGAGCCAGAGAAACTGGAAGTCTTATTTTTCATGGGTGCCACTGCCAGTGAGCCCCAGAAGACAGACTGGTACCACGATGCTAGTGTTGGCATTCAACTAGCATAAACATTTTGATATTCTACAACAGCTACTACTTATATTATCAGACTACGTACAAGTCTACTTGTTCTACATACTCTTTTTTTTTTTTTAAAAAAAAAGTCTGATTTAGACTGCAGTGACTGAAGAAGAGGGTGTTTTCCCCTCTGCTCTGCCTGTTGCAGTAGAGCTGATGAGTGATGTTTCAGATAAAGGCCGACAGTACCTGACTGGGTGAGAGGGAGCACTAACAGTAGCACTGCCCATCTCCCCTTTTCCTGAAAGTAGTCTGTCCACACAGCTGCTGTCCTCTGACCCGTGCAGTACTGAATTAATTCACCTGTCCAAGGGGAGCCTGGGGTATGCTTTGCATTTCCCTGACAGTGCCTGGGGGGAAAAAGACAGTAATCACCAGTTCCTATTGCACCCTGCTGGATTAAAGCATGAGCCTCCTTCTGTCCCAGGTTTATGTCCCTTTACTCTAGTGACTTGAATGTCCCTGTGCTGTATCACCTCTGTCCTCGAGCCACTAGGCTCTCGGTGATCCTCAGAGTCATGGAAGGTGCTCTCAGCTATGTCCCCATGGACATCTTGTGTGGGGGGAAATGTGTGTGTGTTCCTCTTTCCCTTTCAAATGTGCTGTGTTCTGCTGCCTGGCAACTCAGGGCTAGGCCCTGCAGCTGTGAAGAAGATACCTAAGCCTGTGGCCACCAGCCTGACACGAGGTGCCCCCTGTCCTGCAGTGTGCCCCTGTCGGCTCTGGAGAGGGCCCTTCCAGTACCACAGCACAGGGAGTGGCTCTGTGTTGGGCTGTGCTGCTGCAACCCTGAGTCCACCAGCATCTGTGAGGCAGAGCAAGGGATGGCCGGGAAGGTCTCAGCAGGGCACCTGCCAAGCTTTCTTGTGCCTGTTACTTTTGCCCTCTGCCCAGCTGAGATGTGGTGGGGCTGGTGGTCTGCCGGGCTCGTGGCCGCATGGTGGTGCTGGCCGCACGCCGCGCGGGGGGCTGCCAGCAGCTGCAGAAGCATCCTCTCCCCTCCCCAAAAAATCCCCCAAACCCCAAACCATGTCATTTTTCACGGCGTCTTTTATATCGGAGATTAGAATCGCCTCTCTTTGTTGCTATGGGAACGCTCGAGTGAAAGAAAACGACCTCATTATGATTTACGATGAAATCTCCTTCGGGGTGGGCTCGCTGCCCCCACGCCCTTACTGCAGGGCGAGGGGACGCCCAGCCCCGCTGTGGGGATCTGGGGAGGTGAGGGGGTGCTTGCCCACCTTTGCACCCACCCTCTGTGGTTTGCGGAGCTCTCGGGCTCTTCCCTTTGGGCTCGGCAGGTCAGAAACAGCCCCTGCTGCTGGAGCAGCCCCTTCTCTTGAAAATCAGCTCATGAGCAGTAGGTGCATCGCTTCTGCGCCAAGGCCACGTGTGCCTTTGCTCTGGGAAGGTCACTGCAACAAGAACAGGGCCCTGCCAGCAAGCTGGACCAGTGGCTTGGATGCTGTGAGGGGTCTCTTTCTGCTTCTGGTGCCTGGCAGGGCCCTGGTGTTCTTCCTGTGTTTTTCTTTTCCCTGAAATCTTGGCTGCTGCCCCTAAGCCCAAACTGCCCCTGGAGCTGTGCCTCACCCTCGGGTGGGATAGTGAGCTGTGAGGAGACTGAATTTTCAAGTCATGTGCTGAGCTGATCAGGGCTGTTACTAGCATTGAGCACGTGCTGATGGACCTGTGAGAGGCCGCGGAGGTTGGTGAGAAACGAGCAGCTACCTCCAGGACCTGCTGTGAGTGCTGGTGGCTCTTCTCAGCCGCTCCAGCTTGTTGAAGCTGGACAAACTGGTGGCCCAGCATGGCAGCGTGTGGCTACCAGCTCCAGCACGAGGCTGTGCCATCCCTGGTGCCTCCATGCTGCAGGACAGGGAGAGGCCAGCAGGCTGGAGGGGCTCTGCTGGGGCCTGCAGTCTCCCTTTTTGACAAAGCTCTTTGGGAAAGATCTGCTAAACAGAAAACAAGGCCTCCTGACTGCCACTGCACCTCCTTCTCCTCTTCACTAAGTACTGGGGCACATTTTATAACTAAAGGTCTGTTTTTTCCATTGGGTTGTACTCAGGAAAATGTCTCCACCCAGCTGCCACTCCTCCAGCATCCCTCAGGGAGCGCAGTCCTTGGGCAATGAAAGGTTTCAGCATGTGAGGAGAGGAGCTTGCACACCCTGTACACACTTCCCCACAGCTGGCTCTTGCTAAGCAGTAACCCCATGAAAGATCTGCACACTGAAGAAGCTTGGCCTTTCTGGGCTTCGCTTTCAGAGCAGTGCAAAAAAGGCTGGAAAAATGACAGCGTTTGTCAATACTAGCACAAACAAGCAAATAGGAAAAGCAGCCTTTTTCTTGTATTCATTTATTTTTTTTCCCTTTTCTTTTCATATTATTTTCCAACCTGGGAGCAGCCACAATATTGGTTTTGGCATTCCTGATCTTGCTGGAGGAAATTTAGTGTTCCTGGTAAGTGGGACGTGTCTGCTGCTGCTGCAGCTGCTTTGAAGAGAGCGATGCTGAACATTTAGCAAAACCCCTTTTCATCTGCAAAGCCCAGTACTGAAAAGACTTAAATGAATGCAACCAGACCAGTTTAACACTGTCTTCCCCCATTGTTATTCTCTTGACTCTTGTAATACCATAATTTTGCTATTATTTAAGTCAATATAAACTCTTCTATTGTACAGCAGTCCTGAATTTCTCTAGCAGAGAAAAGAAACAAGGAATCCAATTGCTGGTTACTCTTCATGACTAAAGAAAATAACATGGAATAATTCTAACCTAAAAAGCTTGGTATCTGAAACCATCTTCTGAGACTTCCTTATAGCTCATAAAAAAACAAAGATGCAACTCGACTTCCCCGCATCATGGATGGCCACATTGAAAGTAAAGTAGTTGCATTTATAGTGTGCTATCTGAATTAAATTTGTCTGTTATGGCTGAGATGTCCCAGCTCTATTAACTATAGGTGCCCCATAATACAGAGCATTTTTAAACACGTAGGTAGGATAAACCATAATCGTTTGTCTACTGAATTGATTTTATTGAGGAAAAGAGTGAGCAAACCAGATACATCTCTTTATATCCAAATCTTCCACTAAGACTTCAAAGAAACTGTAGAAATTAAATGAATAAAAAGATGCTCCCCTTTATGTATTCAGATCCGCTAGCCTAAAGCTCAGAGACTTCCCTGCACTCGTTTCCAATCTTTAAAAAATGAGCTTTGCACAACAGATCCGTGGGAGCTCCACAGCTCTCAGCAATGATTTCTTTCCCTCTTCTCACTGTGCCTTGCGATGCTGTTGGCATTCTCAGTTTTGATAAGCTGTGCTCTTCTTGGTTTGGGTGCAAAAGGAACAGAATCCTCCCTACAAAAGGCACTAATTAATGGCCCAGTCCTCCCAGGTGTACCCGAGGCAATAGGGAATTCAAGATGCCTGGCCTTGCAACTGCAGGCCAGAAGGGATGATGCTTGTTGGCCTGGCACAGACCCTTGAGCATTGACTCTATTTACTCTGTTTTATAAATTCTGCATGAGCCTGGCATCTTACAGAGTCTTCAGTAGTTTCAGAACCTATGGATACAGACGAGGGTGCTGTCTGTGGGTACTTCTAGGATATTTTAATGAGACAGAGGTAATTTTGCAGAGTCATGATGCAAGTAGATGAGTACCCATGAGTGCCAGTGTGGGACTGTGAAAGAGCTGAAGTTCCTTTTTCTGAAAGGCAGATGGAAGAGACGGTGACAGTCAGCACAGAAAATCTGTGAGCAGCCTCACTCGGAGGGAAAGCATCAGCTCTTGGAGTGCCTATTGAAAATTCGTACAGTGGTGAAGGATCTAAAAGTGAAAAGAAAGGCAGTGAAGAGAGAAAGATGAGACAAATTCTTCTAGGAACTGTAAAAGTTAAAAATGACAAGTTTTGATTTCTCCATCCCCCATTGCCCTGAATCCAGCTGCGTCTCTGAGACTTCAGTGATTCAAAGTGACCTAAGAAACTGAAGAGAAGGAGAGAGCAATCTATGTAGGTATGTATTTGACAAATGCTGATGCAGTTAGTATTTGTGTATGTACTTAACTATGCGGAGATGTACCTACCAGATATATATATGTGGCTTTGCAGTTACCATCCTATCATTTATAGCTCCTAAAGGATTCTGAATACTTCCTTCTTCTGTAAGCACGTTGGCTTTGTGGGATGTGTGACCACAAGGGTTTTGGGTGCTTGAGATAACCATGTGGTGCTCCTCGCTTTTCATCTAGCAATCCAGATAAGCACACATAATTTTAGGTATCCGCACGACAGGGTGTGGCTGTGCTGTGAATTATGTGTGTACCTCAATGCTTTTCTGGATAAGAGCTGTACAGCAGAGTAATAAGCCAAATTAAAAAAAGCTCATCGTGCTAAATTTACATCAGGATCTGCAGTTCATCTCTCTGGGCACCTGATGCCTCTAGCTAACTGGCACAATTGGGCTGCTCCAGGAATGATTTTTATGTTCCACCGATCTGACAGCACCCGTCATTTTCATATACACAAGTGTCCATATCACTAAATCACCTCTGCCATCGTTAGTGCTAATTGGTTCCCTTGCTCTACCCTCAGAGAAATGTGAAAAGCCTGGATGGAAGCTGAAGGCCCATCTTCCCACCAAACGGCACTGCCGCACGTTCCTGGGACAGCCCATGAATATACAACAACTTCTGCAATCATATTATGTGCTCCGGTCTTGCTACGGAGAGGCTCTCAAAATCTAGGGCTGTTACTCTTGTCATGCTCTGTCAGGACTGAGCTTGCCCACACAAAATTAATGCAAAGCTTGCTAGCCACTAGCAATGATTTGGTTTCAGCCACATTTTTTATTTTCATTTTTAAATTTTTTTGCTAATGGATGCTCATCTGTGTAGCCTGGTGCTCTGGGCAGGATCTGGTCCCTGGTAGAAAGGAGAGGCAAACTGGGACATGAGGGGAGTGGGAGCACGGGTGGGTGATGGCACGAAGCCTGACTTTTTTTACAGAACACACACCCCTCATTTAAGCTGTGGCATGCTTTCTTTTATGTCATATCTTGTGATGGATAAAGCAAAGTTAATAAGTTCTTGGCGTACTGAACAGAGCACATGCAAGAGTTGGTCTTTTTACAAAAAATTCTGTTTCAAGTCATTTCTGAGAAATCCAAAATTATCCCTGAAATTCTCTGGTTTACATGTAGATATTCAGTGTGCAGTCCTGAAACAGATCTTCATTTCTGAGTGATAATTTTTGTGAGACCAAGTAAAAATGCATCCCGTGTCTTGCAAAGATATTTTTGTATAATTTTCCAAAAGGAACAAAGGGTTTCCTACCTTAATAAGGAGAAGAGAGAGGGAGAAGGGGAGAGAGAGAGAGCTGCCGTCTATAGTGCATGCTTCAGAAGTGGGTTCCACTACTTTAGTTTCCTTGTTAGAATTTATATAACCAGAAAACCTTGAAATCCGCTTCTGAGAAGGGAGAAATAGAACGGGCTGTGGAGAATGGAAGTGTCAAGATTTTGTTCCAAGGAAACTGAGGGAGGAAAACCAGAGAGTCCTGCAACAGGAAAATAGTGTTCGTTGTCTTCTGTTACTTTTGATGCCACCCCACCAAATACAGCAGGGTGCCTAAGGGAAATAGAAATAACATGAAGGCACAGAAATCATTAGACTTATTTTCAAAACCTGTCCTTAATTGAAGTTATTTATATTCCCTCTTTATCTTGTCAGTTCTAGGCCCTGAGGGTCTTTCTATCCTTTCCGTCTCAATGAGTGTGGGTGAATTGTGGCATCCTTTTTGCTCTCCTCCATCTTCTTTAAGGTCTCTGCTTGGTTGCCAAGTGAGAAGCACATAGATTTGCTATCTGGCAAAACACAGCATCATTATTCCATACTTTGCTCTAAATCTTATGCGTCAATCTCCTTCCAGCTTTGCAGGTTTTGTTTGCATAAATGAGCAGACTCCTACCAAAAGAATCTGAGATGGCAGCTCTGAAGATTTTAATCCTCTTTTCATCCCCAGAACAAAAATAACACAGCAGCAATGTGCCTGGGATGCCTGCTCTGCTGGCTAACACCAGGGACTGAACCGGGGAACTTCCACAGCTTAAAAGTATGACCCTTTTTATAGCGTGAGCAGGGGGCATGAAGTCTGTAAGAGACCTGTAAGCTCTAGGGTCTGGACATGAAAAGGAAGCTCTGGATCACAGGCTGCCTTCTCAGCTGCATGAGTTTCCTCCAAGAACGAGCCCTTTCCAAGTGTCCGGGCTTTATAGCCTTGCAAATCCTGTGCAAGTCACTACCTAGGTGATGGCAGTCACCCTACTGGCCATATCAAAAACTGTGATTCAGTCCTAAACTAGAGGAAAAATAATCCTTAGATCATGTTATTTGCTTAGATTCTCTGGAGATGCTACTTGCAAATTCTCTGGGCTTGTTCTACAGTAATATTTCTGTTGTGGTTACCAGGTTAATTGTGCCTCTGGCTCTCCCACATCTCATGCTTTTGGCCTTTAATTTCCAGGCCTTTAATCAACTGGGTAGTCCTCCTCCTCCCATACCCCAGCTGGAATCCCCTGTGCAGCAACAGTGCCATCCTGCAGCAGGTCTAGCTCATAGCTCCACAGAAATACAGAGCTGGTAGTGCTGCAGAAAGGTCCTGGAGCCCATTGCCTTGTCTCAGGCAGGATCACCAATATGCAAATCATTCGGTGCCCCTGCTGTGTCCTCCTCCCCACACCTGTAAAGCTGTCAGGTTACCGAAGGTCCCTCAGTCCCTTGGGAAGCTCAGGACCACCCCACAAGATTCACATCTCCAAGAAACACAGACCTTGTCCTCAGCCCACGGCCAAGGGTTTTGGCTACCCTAAAAATGACACTGATCACCAGACCCTTCTTATGCTGGAAGGAAGAGAAAGATGCCAGCGACACGCATCTCAGCCTAGATATGTGTGAGTTGTCGTGCTTATCATTACCATTGTTCATTTGCTGCAAAGCAGGTGTTAGCTCAGAAAAAACATAAAAGCTGCATTCTGTATTGTTTGTTCCTCGTTAAAATGATCTGGGCCCCTGTGGGCATGTGTTGTCTTAATATTCTGGTGCTGAGAAGTGCCACATTTTCATAATGAAAGCTGTTGCAGGAAAGCAATTCCAACCTCAGATAAAAGGAGAAGATTACACTTGCCACTCGAGTTATGGTATTAGAACAACTGATTTTATTTGTTTTCATTTCATTTTCCCTGTCAGCTGCTTCTGAACCTCTGTGTAGCGTTCTTCAGAGATGTTAATTGTATTTTGTGTGTCTGGATCCCCCTAAGAAATGACAAATGTTTTCACTCACAAATTAGATGTCTCTTTTCATTTAAACACCAACAAGGAAAGCTAATTTAAGAATGGTTGTGCCGTTGTTGCAGCAAGAGCCCTGATATATGATAGAAGCTGAGATACAGAGTTAGGGACCTGGAGCAGCAAACTCTGCGTTGGGAATGTAGATCGATGAGATACTCATTTAATTTCTCCCTTAGCTGGTTCACAAGTGGAAAAAAAAAAGGTCACATGCTTGCAGTTGGGCACAGGAATAAAGTAATTGCACTTCAGGAGTACAGTCATGTAGTTTATGTCCAGTGTTGAAGCAGACACCGCAACCTTTGGACAAAGTTCCCGGGGACATCTGTGGGTGTTTTGCCTGAAGAAGGACTGGAAGGCTTTTTCTAAGTCATGAATGAATGTGAAGGAGGAAAGAACTGGTAAATAATGTGCAAATAGATGGGGAGAATATTGAGTATAGCACGGGATATTAGGAATATATTGCTAGTAATACAAACAGCTGAGTTGCTGAAAGGAAAGGGAAGGTGACCAGAACAAACCCTGCTCTTCTGGCGTCACTGGAAATTCCCCTGACAGAAAAAACATGCTACATATCCACCTGAGTGTGGTCATTTGGCTATGAGAACTCAAGCCCAAGCCTGAGCTTCACGTCTGACAGAGACATGGACAGGTATTTCAAGAACAGATCCCCTCCCCATGGTAGCTACTAGGACTTCACAGTGGCCAAGTAGAGATGCAACACAGGTGCTCAGAAGGTGTTAATAATTCTCTGCTATTGGTGGAACTGATAAAAGCAGATAGAGTAAAAGGACAATTGCAATGGACATTTCACCAGATCTTGTTGAGACTTTTGTGAAAAACAGTGCCTTCATGAGCAGAGTTACATCCTTGGCTAGAAGACTTACACTTGTACAGTTCACATTTCCTGTACTTTGTCTGTGTTTCATGTGTGCTGGGCAGGGCAATGAAAAACAATGTGTTTCATTAGGTCTCTGGCTGCCATTGGGCAGAGTCAAAAATCTGACAACATTCACCCCTCTGGCTCCATGGCTTATTTGGATGGGTGAAATTATAAGATGATTTCTGTGAGTGCTGAAAGGTTCAGAGACCTCTAGAGAAAACAAAACAAAACAAACAAACAAAAACAGAAAACAAAACCCACAAAAATGACAAATTGTGTTATTTCTGCATTCAGTCACAATGCTTTACATAGGCTTGGGTACTTGGAGGTCTTTGGAAGGCATGAATTAGTTATAACTGATAGACTCCATATGTATCCCTGCTTTACAGACAGTAAAAGATGCCAGACTGCCAAGACCCCACAGAAATCACCCTGGAGAAGAAAAAATACCAGTATCATGTGCACCTTCATTTCAGGCAGGTCCTCCTTCCTGCCTTCTGATTCTGTGTGGCCTGACTGTGTATGGAAAAAGAGCACGTGAACTTCAGGCAGGCGGTGGAGTATCTCCCCCTCCTTTGCAGATCAGCGTCCCACATGTTTCAGAGTTCTCCTCCCATGTGTTCAAGGGCTGTTGCTTTTCATTCGCAGTTTTTCCACGCTGGTATGAGTGTTCTCTGAGCAGAGGCAGCTTTACAGCATTTAGCCAGCCGACACTTTCTGATAGGCTTTGTGCTCCCCGTGAAAAGTGCAACAGTCCTTGACCAGAATCAGTCACTGTGTTCATCAGTA